CCCCAAAACCCCAAAACCCCAAAACCCCAAAACCCCATTGTATAGATATGAAATAGAATAATTATCAAGGATAATAATAGAACTCATATTTCTTCCCAACTTCTTAATGTTCTTAATAAAGATTCATTCCTTTAAAATTTAAGAATCTCTATACAGTCTCCCAGTGGTAACTTTGTTCTGGTCAATAGAGTTTATAACGGGATTGGCTAAGCCCTCTTGTTTTGTGGAGAAGAAAATAATTTCATAAATCTCAGAAACTGCCTTCAGGAAATCATCTAAATGTGAACGTTTGAAAACATTAATGGTTTTAGTTTTCCCTTTTATGTTTAATCAGAACTCATAGTCCCCTTGCCCATTTTCCTCATTTCCAATTTCATAATGGAGAAGAACTTCATCAAGGCAGAGGATAAGTGTCTTTCTTCCTTTGTTCTTCTTCAGCTGTTGTCTAAGCATGCTTATGTTACTCTCAAAGTATGATTTCGCACGTGATAAATTAGGGTTAGAAGAATCTTTTTCCTTAGTCATACTAAGCTTTGATCTAAGCTTTCCTTGTGTATTCAAATCTGATTTCATTCGTCTGAAATTTGAATCATTTTTAGCCATATTGAGGTTTACACTTGGATGCTCAGCTTTTGAGTTATTAGAGGAAGATTCAATCTTAATGGTTGTTTGAACTTTAGGAGTTCTTTTCACCCCAAAGCATCATTTACAACCAAATAACTTATTTTTCTTCTGTGGTTTAATACTAGATTTTTCACTATCCGAAAACATTGCACTCCTCAAATCCTCTCTAATCTCATTATTCTCCTGGTGTTTCACCGAAAGGAACGCCATATTCTCGATAGGCTTGACTAAAGCTGATGTAACTCTATCCTTCTTGTCCTTCTTCTTTTCTCCCGAAACTTCTATCTTAACTCTCAAATTCTTCTGTACTCTAACCCCTCCACCTCCCTTACCTCCCCAACCTATTCTGTGCTACTCTTCCTGCTCATTATTGTACTAAGCCAGAGGGTTCAAATTTACTCATAATTTTGAGCTTTCAATTTTTATAATTAGGATTGGGGTTTTGGGGTTTTGGGGTTTTGGGG